AGGAACACTAAATTAACTATCCCAGGTCGAACATTACTGTGCCCGTAAACGACCGTACACTGCCGTTTACGATGACGTGAACGGCCGTATCCGCCAAAACTACGACCGTATACGGGCCGTAAATAAACCGTTTGGTATGCGCCGTATTACGGTCGTGTGAGACCGTGTTGTGTACGGCGAAAAACGACAATCGTTTACACCAAAATCTGTGCCGTAACACGGCAGTATTTTGACGAAGACGACAGTTTACAACGACGTAAACGATCGTAAATGAATGTAACCGACCGTTTTCGGTCACACATTTTGAAAGGATTTCACCAGGATTTCATTTGGATTTCACATTGATTTCACATGGATTTTATTGGGATTTCGTACGGATTTCATATGGATTTCACTTGGATTTCACAAGGATTTCATACGGATTTCACTTGGATTTCACAAGGATTTCACAAGGATTTCATTTGGATTTCATATGGATTTCACTTGGATTTCACATAGATTTCATATCGATCTCATATGGATTTCATTTGGATTTCACCAGAATTTCTTCAGTCTCTCAGTTCGATATGATTTTGATATCACCTGGATGCCATCAAAAGATTATCATCACTGCACATGCATTTTATATCGATTGCTTTTGGATTACGTCTTGGGTCTGATTTCGGCGACCGTTTTATTTGATTCCAATATAGCTAAACTTGAGAAGACTGCTACAATGTGCGTAAGTATCCTTTCATTGTACTCAGCGGTGCAAATTAGTCCCGTAACTACCGCCTTTACGCTGGCGCAGCCTTCTTTTTCTCGTGATTCAGATTGCGACGAGACAAGAATACACTTATAAAAGCACTCACCTTTGAACACCTGTAATGTACTGGAAGGGCAAACTAAATCCTGGTATATATAGAGCTGTTGCTGCAAAAGAAAACGGTGAATGATTACTTGACCAAAATCTTACAAGAAATCCAAATTTTGAAAGGCGAAATTTCGGATTGAAATGAGAAGTGAATGAGTGAAAGACAAAGCAAATCCCGGTATATATAGAGCTCTTGCTACTAAACCAATCGGTGAATGAATACTCGACCAGAAATCTTACAAGAAATCCAGATTTCAAAAGTGGGGTTTTTCGAAAGGAAAGACGAAGAGTATGGTTGAGTGGCAAAGTAAATCCTGGTATATATAGAGCTATTACTGCTGAACAAATTGGTGAATGAATACTCGACCAGAAATCTTACAAGAAATCCAGATTTCAAAAGTGGGATTTTTAGAGAGCAAAGACGAAGAGTATGGTTGAGTGAGAAAGTAAATCCTGGTATATATAGAGCTATTACTGCTAAACAAATTGGTGAATGAATACTCGACCAGAAATCTTACAAGAAATCCAGATTTCAAAAGTGCGATTTTTAGAGAGGAAAGACGAAGAGTATGGTTGAGTGAGAAAGTAAATCCTGGTATATATAGAGCTATTACTGCTAAACAAATCGGTGAATGAATACTCGACCAGAAATCTTACAAGAAATCCAGATTTCAAAAGTGGGATTTTTAGAGAGGAAAGACGAAGAGTATGGTTGAGTGGCAAAGTAAATCCTGGTATATATAGAGCTCTTGTTACTAAACAAATCGGAGAATGAATACTCGACCAGAAATCTTCAAGAAATTTGGATTTTGAAATCAGAATTTTTCGTGAACAGTATGTCTGTCGTTAACTAGGGAATCATGTTGCAGATTTTTTGTGGTTACTTTTCGGATCGTAAGTTGGGCTCCGATTGATACTTATGTGGAGTAGATAGGATGGAATTGAGTGAACATATTGCTGCAAATTCAAAGCAATGACGGTGCGGGAATGAAGGAGTAGTATGTATGGGAAAGTAGAGCGAGTTATGCCTTGGTTATGGGAACGAAGAACTGGGATGTGAATGTTGTTTTTCTAGTTTTTGTAGGGCGACGTCTTTCACCTCTCTTGATGTTTTGGAATATACTTTTTGTGTTGTGGTTCTAGTACCTTGAATGATGTGAATAACTTTTTCGGAAGTGTTTGTGAATATACTGAATGAAAATTGCATGAGATATTTAGTGGTACTCATTGTATTGGTAGAAATATGGTTTCTGGTACTAAATGATGGTGTTGATAAATGAATGAATCTGAGTTTAGTACGCTGAGTTGATGTGGAAAAAAATCAATTTTCTGGTACGTTTGTTAGTCGGAATATGTTTGTTGCCTTACTGGCAGGCGGAGTTTTGAAGCTGAGAGCTTTTCCCCGTCTTTGTATTATCTATGTTGAAAACAAGCTGCATTTTCATAAAAATGCTGTTTCATGAATCATGAGGTTAGATTCTCATGTATATGGTAGTTTCGACATGGTGATTCACTTTGCATCGGAAATAGTTTTCGGAAGTTTTGAAGATAAGTGATAAATGCTGTTTTTCTGCATGAAACCTTGATTCTCGTTAAATTAATCAAACTTCTATTCAGTGGAACAGGACTAAAGATGCATTGGGAAAAGTTGATTTCGTTTATAATTTTTATTGTGGAGACTGTCAAATAATATTTAGTTTATTTTTTCTTTTTTTTTCTTGATATTGTTGGTAATGTTTTGGTTTAGGTTGTTTATGGTGCAACGATGAAAAGGAAATTACCAAAAAGCATTTCAATAACAAAAAGTAATATGTGTATATTAGACATATATTATGGTAATGGAAACGATGAAAACGAAGTTTCAATGATAGCTTTCAAAACTTGTGCAACGAAATACCAATTGTTGGTAGCATAATACTTGCGGCATACGCTTCTTTCACCGAATTATAGATGCATTGATTTCGGAGAATCCACTTTGAGATTTATAGAATTTCGAGAATTTTATCCCTCGCTAACCACTCTAGAGTGAGGGTGCGGGTAAGGGAGAGAATGGCTAGAGGTAAGGGTAATGATGAGGTCGACGTTAATGTTAGCTTCTTTCGACAGTAACTATGTTCATCATCACTTTCACCTTCTCATCCTGCCCGTCACCGGCACCCTCATTGTGAAATTACCCTGTGTGGGTAATATCAGTATTTTTGAAGAAGACCCCTATTTTCACCCGATAACCCCATTCAGAAATGGTACCATACGATAGAGAATTAAATTCTGCACCTAACACAATCATTTATGGAACCAGCACAGCTCTACAGGCACATCCGGACCAGAAAAATACGAATCTGGTGCTAACTTTAGGTATGTTAAAAAAAGAGTCAAATCTTATGAGAAAGTATGTTAACATAAAGAATTATTTAGTCTCGAGTTTAAAATGGTATGAGTAAATTTAAGTTGCGTAAATAGAATGCCTTTATTGACAATTTGATCGTATCTAGAAAGAAATCTGTTGAATCAAATAGTAACACAAATAGGATCTCATGTCTGTTATTGTGATTATATCTATTATTAGCCACTTATTGTAACCATATAAAAGGTTTTGACGAAAAGTCAGATTAACAATCGAATAGTCATTTATACAATTTTAACAATCGATTAAAATAAATTAAAAATAATTATTATCAAATCCCATCCATCATTTAGATTCAGATATCATATTAAAATCAAATTAAAAATAACGTCATTATAATCTATCAAAATTCGATTATTAATCGAAAAATCGGTTTTAATCTGACTTTTCATCAAAAGTTTTTTTACATGGGTTTCACATAGAACAACAGGGATTTCCTGGATCTTTGGTATTATAGTTCAGTTCATGTATGTGCAGTTCACCCTGCAAATTCAATTTCAGATAGGAGAATCTGTCAAATTAGATCTTGAGAAACATTATGTCTAGCTGATGCGCACTGAGCAAAGCGAAATCCACTTTCGCAGTCTTTTTTACCAGTTATTCAAGAGATACAAGAGATACTGCTAATTAAACATTTCAGATGCAATCTTACACAAATCTGCCTCAATTGAGAGACCCAATACAACAATATTCAGCATACTGTTTCTAGAGTGATCATTTTCCACACTTAATACACTTAATACAAAATCGTAAAATACTCTTCATGTGGACAGAAAATTTTTTAAACGAAATCCGAAATTAACTATTGAAAATTTGTTGATTTATTGATAAAAATCTAAAGAATGTATACGTGAAGAGAATTTTACGAGGCAAGGAATGGTGTCGATCTCAGATTCTTTTATGAAAATTTGTACTATTTTTGATAGATTTGAAAAAAAAGTGCTTCAAATTTCGGTTCTTCTACTAGCGAAGTTCTGATTTTGCCACTATGTCTAAGAAAAGTAGTTCGTCGTCGTTAACAACTGTGCAAGGACACTAAAATAAAAAACGATGATCTTAGATCACACCGTTTACAGCTGGCGCTCACAACATCTTATGGTATAATCCGAGTGTCGTTTACAGTCGCCGCATTATTACAGTAATCGTAAACGGCTAACGTTTACGGTCATTCTTTACGATGAGCGTAATACGCTGTAAAGCATCGTATATGATTGCCGTAAACAGTCACTGTATACGACTGCCGTTTGCGATATCTTACGATATTATCCGAGCATCGTTTACTGTCGCCGTATTTTTACGGTTGTTGTAAAGGACGAACGTTTACGGTCATTGTTTACGATTAACGTAATACGCCGTAAAACGTCGTATATGACTGTCGTAAATGGTCACTGTAAACTGCTGTCGTTTTTCGTCGTAAATGATTGGCGTACGGCCGTTTACGGCCGGGCATGAACGACCTGGGATGACATGGTAATTTCTTGTAATCTATTTTCAAAAAAATCTTATCTGTCAATATCAAAAGCAACATCGATAATTATCATAAACTTCTCTATCCCATAGTACGGGAAAATCTTTAGATAAAGGATATGGGATGCGTCCTCTTTCGTCCTTAATCATGTGTCAGGATGTAAGGAAGATAAGGACGAAAAAGGACGCATCCAGGATATGCTAGACATAATTAAACATTCTTAGATATTATTTAGAATCTCAAAAGAATTGATATACTGGCACGAAAATTTATAACTAGATTTCAGGACTTTTAGCTGAAAATATTAGAAAACTATAAAATTTTCTATATTGTTTTGTTTTTTTTTTTCTAAAGACCTCCAGAAGAAGTATTAAGATGAGAATTTTTTTTGTTGTCAATAATAAATTACTTTTTCATCAAGTGATTCCAGTGTACAAGAAGCGCAACAAATTTAATAATTTTATCTTAGAAAAAAGAAAAGAACACTCTAAAATCTTACTTTGATTTCTTTGTCTAAGAAGTTTAATGCATTCTTCAACATCTCCTAATAGCATTGGAATCTGATCTTGTAAATAAATAAAAGTTAATTTTTCCCAACAATCTTTACCATCTAATTTTGGTTGAACTTCTGTATGAAAACAAAAAAACAATATTTTCATTAACTTTTGTTCTATAAATAGGTAAATCAACTGTACAAATAACTCCATGATCACCATTAATAAGGGCATACTTTATCATTTGACCATATTGCTTTTTCTTATACTTGTTAATGAGCGCTTTTGTTGAGCATCATATAAAATAATATCATAATTTTCACGAATTAATAAATGACGTGTACCAACCTAAAAAATTAATGAAAAAATTTAAAAAAAGAAACAAATTTAAACTTACAATATAATCTTTTTTATCAAGAAAAATAAATTGATTTCGAGCAACCCATATAGCATTCAAATCAGACAAATGACGCCCTTCAGGTTGACAAGTTGCAATAATTACAATAAATTCATATTTTACATATAAAAAATTGCGAATATATGATAAAAATTTTTCCATGTTGCTGCTGATCTATCGAACAAAGAGAAAAGAATTCAATGATGAACACATACTTGAATATTGTGTGTTCGTCTGCTTCGTGTGCTCACAAACGAACATGACACAGACAAGAATGAAAAACAGGCCTAGACAATAATGTTTTTTTCTTTTCTTCTCTCGTCCGTAAGTTATGCTTCATGTTGTCATTGATGATCAATGATAATATGACATAATGAGTGTGTACGTCAATTAAGCATTATCCATACACATACATTGAGATACTGTGATTGACTTTATCCCAACGTATGCGTGTATGTTGATAATAGCTTAATTTTTATCATCTTTTCATCACTCTCTGACGAGAAAAAAAAAAAGAAAATTATCGACTTTTTAACGTATAAATATGAATGATTTTCCATGTAAAAATCATTCAATTTATTGAATCAAATTCTAATCTTTTTTTTATATTTTAGATTGGCTGCAACGATACAAAATTATACAATTCAATTCAAATCAAGACAACAAAAAAATGTAGGTATCAGTTTTTATTTTTTTCTTCTTTTTTTTTTCTTTATTGGATCATACA